GGAGGGGAGGGGAGGGGAGGGGAGGGGAGAGCAGAGAGAGGGAGTGAGTGTGAAAGTATATCGTATCAGATCACTGCTGGGCTGTGCGCCGCAGCGGTGTCGTTCACGTGCCGAAAGCATCGAGCCTCGACTTCCTGCGCTGGCTGAGCGGCCGTCGTCTGAAAAAAAGTATGAGCTTAGCAACATTGTACCAGCTGCTGCAGAAGCGGCCTCTGGTAACATTCCGGTCACTGCAAGGCCGACCTGCTCACTGTCTGGGCTCACCTTCCGAGAGAGGCGGGTCCACACGTCTGCAGCTTCCGATGTATACAAACCACACCGAGCGTCTGCCCTCACATTCGGCCCATGCTTGCCTTAAGCGGCATTCCGACAGCACTGCTCATGAGACTGCGCAGCTGTGCCATGCTGGTGCCATGCTGCATTGCTTCAGGCAGCCCACGGGCTCCACGATCCTCGAGGCGCACGTGGATGTTTGAAGCTGTGACTCTAATGTCTCAGGGCCACGGGCGCATCGAGATGCAGGCCAAGTCTCAAATCCGAGTCTCCTCCCTGTGCCAGCTGAAGATCCCTCAAGCTCCCAAGAGTGTCAAAGCCTGGCCATCCAAGGTACACACACACACACACATCACACCCAGTCAGTAGAAGTACTGGCCTGGTGCACGCTGGAAGATTCTTTCTCGGTGACTGCAAGAAGCCAACCGACACCGTTTCCCAGGCTGCATGCCCGTGCCACCTCCCCGTCCGCCCTCTATTACATGGACGGCGGTCAGGAGGAAGGTGTCGTGAGCTGTACACTCAAGAAATCTAGAAGCTTTGGGCCTTGACGGTCGCAAGCTTACGGAGATTTACCCTTCGGGCTTCACTGCGCCAGGAGGAAGCGGCTTTTGCCAGACTCTTGCTTTCTTCTCCCTGGACATGTCGAATACCCGGCCAGGAGTACAGGGTATGGCTGGTGCCTTCTCCTCGACCGCAGGGGCCGCAGGGGCCCCAGGGTTTAGAGCACCTGCGTATCCTGCCTTGCATGGCCCTGCGACCACAGGCTGCACACGACCGGGCTCATTGATCTCCGCAGGATATAACTTTACCTGCGGTTCTCTCTGCGCCAGGAGCTGATCCTGGTCCTCACCTTCCGAATCACTGTCGTCCGATCGCCTGTCGAAATAGCCATCATCTGGACAAAGGAATCCACCGGGTGGAGGCAACACTTCGACTTCATCGTCTGGCGATCTCCCGTCCTCCTTGGGCCCGGGATGATTCGACTCCTCTCCATCGCAGCTGGATCGGCTGCTTGTCTCACTCGGGTGATTGTAAGGGTTCCAGAAGGCATTGGACGTGGAGCTCGACCTGGAAGCTTGCGAGGCTCCAGTCCCTGCAGGTCGCATTGCTGGGGGTGAAACAGAACTCAGATGTGCCGTTGTTGCTTCTGAATTTATGGGCTGGGACATGCTGAAACATGGAGTTGAAACACTTGCTTCGGGCTTTAACATGGCTATGATGGCCGCTGGCCCGGACGAAGTCTATTGAGAGCACTGCGACAGCCTTGAAAACTTGCGGGGTGCAGACGGTCATGGCACCTTCGGCACGGCAACACTCAGATTCGGCACGCCTTCTTACTGTGCAGCCGCTACAGTCAGTGTACATCAGTGTGTTGGAGTCCTGACTTAAGCTGCGCTTCACACAGTGAACCTTTGTTCAAGCCCTTCGAAGGGCCAAATCCATCACAGCACTCCAACGCTCCACATCCCCGCCTGGTTTCTTCTTCAGACACTTGGTGCAAACCTGTAGCTGCCAAGCGCGATCAGCCTCGGGACCTTGCACTGTTCCAGAAGCCTTGGCTGTTACCGTTACCGTGGAACCTAACATTTGTACTGAATTTTACATGGAATAAGGGGCTTGGTCGGGCGACGCCACCTTCACAGCATTTCCTGTCTTGATGTGTGCATCTCTCTAACTTCTGAGTATGCACCCGGTATGTCCAGAGGCACCAAGTGCCTTTGCATCGAAGAACTGGATGCCAAACGTTGCCGGGAGGCCATTTCGTTCACCTCATCGTCTGCGATGCTGGTCATGAACTCGGCGGCTCGCTTCCTTGGTATCTGGAACACAATCGAAGCCCCAAAGACCAGCCGAGCCGAGGCTAGCCAAGCAGGTCATATTGCAGCCGAGAGTCAGCTCCGAGAAATTCAAACCTGCAATCTCAGAAGGTCGAGGAAGGGTTCCGGCGGCGATGAGTTTCTACGGGCCTGTTCTGAGTTTGTACACCCTTTCACACCGATGGATGTAAAGTTTAACGAGTTACCTGGACGTGCCGACCCTTCAACTAGCAAGGTACTATCAATTCCGCGTTGCCCTTGCTTACCGCCATCGCCCTGCCCCCCGCACCACGCTACAATCTACAACACTCTTTTCTACAAACCTAACGATTAGTGCATATTATTATGCATAATATAAACTAATCCCCT